CCCCGATCGAAGAAATTTTAAATCTTACACGTCACATTCAAATGATACTATAAGTGTACCAAATTTAAAAAGATCCAATAGTCGGATTAAAAATTAGACATATTAAAAATTTGGTTGTTTTTGCTGTCATGACAGCTAAAAAACTGTCATGACAGCACCTCCGAATTAACTTTTGGGGCATACTATTTCATCATCCGACCTCTGATCGGAGCGATTTCAAAGCCCAAATGTCACTTTTAAATAGTACTATTATCATACCAAATTTTGGAAAGATCCAACAGACGGATTGAATTTCGTACATGTTGCAACATCATCAATGTTGCTCTCATGACAGCTCCTCCAGACCAAATTCTGAAGTGCTCCGTTTCTCTGTTCGGTATCCGATCGATGTGATTCTAAAGCCCACACGAAGCTTATAAAAGGTTTTACTTGTGACCCAAATTTTAGAAAAATTCAACGGTCGAATTAAGATTTAGACACCCGGATGCAAAAGTGTAGTTTTTTGGTAAAAACCATTTTCAAAATTATCCAAATCTCATCCTAATGGTCACAAACCTGTGGGAATACTTTGAACACGTCAAATAGGACTAAAAATACCTGATAGAATATTTAAATGATAAAAAAACTTTTATACCAAAATTTGACCACCCAGGTGCCATTTCCCAAAATGGACCCTAAACTCCCAAAATGCACAAATCACACAAGAGTGGCCAAAAACTATTCCAAATATCATATACACATATGAATACACACGCTAAACATTTTTACTCGGCTCAGAGATCTCTGTGGGGCCTACGCACCCACTCTCTCTATCCAAGGTATATGTTTGCCCATAGCATACCATTTGCAATACAACCACTTTACATTTGCTTGTGAAATCACATATATATCAAAATAAATATTTACTTGTAATGAAAACTTAGTCTACCAAATAAATCCATCAAAACCACACACCATAGCCAAGTTTCCTACCCACAAGTCTACAAGCAAACAAAAATTCATACACAAGCCATACAATCCACACATACTTACACACATATACATAATCACATCCTACTGGCACCCTAATCTTAAATACATTACAATAGATTTGCTCAAAAGAAAAGGCTTGCAATTCTTTACAATTCACAAACAACCCCTAGCTATGCTCCTTTCCCCATCCTCCACTGGTTCCTTCGCCTGGACCTGAAAATATTGAAAAGAAAGGGGTGATATAACCACAGTCTTAGTAATAGAGAAATCTACATTGATTATTACAAAGTAAGCCATAATCGAATAAACGAATAATAAATTCAACATAGTATATAATTTAGCTATTTAAAATGCATGAATGCATGACATAGGCCGATATGGCCTTTCATAAGGCCTTTCATGACCAACAGAATGCGCCTTGGCACTCTTTAACTCGCAGGTAAATCTTATACCTACTTATACTTCCACAGGCATAAAACATAATCTAAGACATGATTTAATTCACCGAATCGCCTATGCCCCTTCGACGTGAATCCTGAGCAGTCAAAGTTAACTCCCTCCCAGAGCCAGCCCGACTTACTCTCTATGTGAAGGCTACCTTGGCCTAAGCACTCAACCTCACACTTCATATGTCAGATTTCCTCCCTCATTGAGAGGTGTCAAATACTCAATACACTAAACACTTTAGTGCACTGAGCCTACAATACGTAAGGCAACATCGAGTACTGGCAGTGTACCATAGAATATCAAAAGTCCACACCTTCTTATTGGTGAACTCCCACCGAGATCATGCCTTTTATTCGTGTCTACCTTTCCCGAGTATTGACCACATCAATACTCTAAGGTAGTATAACATTTATAAATCTCCCTTAAACGGTTCCTTAGCCTATCTAAGGTACCTTACTTAGTTACACTTCCTTTAGTGCAACTTCTATTCTTTATGATTACAATACATATAAACAAATCTCATTTCCATAAAAACATTGTTGTTAAACAATTAAAAAAATATATTTACACTATAATCAAAGCAGTACCCCATAACCCCTTATAAAACACATTTAATCTTTTAAAACATGTAATGCATGATAGTTAGTAATATTTATTCAAAAATAGCTAAAATAAAGTAATAAAAAATATAAATTCCCCTGTTACCTAGACCCTTTGGTACCAAAAAAGTTCCTCTTGTACAAAATAGAACTTAGCTTGTTCCTTAACTTCTCAATAAGTTTCACCAACAATTCCTACAACATATAAGTGGTCCATATCACTTATCATGACAAATAGCATTAACGAAGACTATAACTCATACCACACAACTTGGGTCAATGAGTCATAATCCATCCTAATGGTCCATATATTAAACCAATCATTCACATAGTATCATTTAACCACCAAAAACATTTATTAGCCATCACTAGGCTAATTTCTAATTTATATAATTTTTTATCAATTAAAAACCTTCACTTAGTGTCACCAACTTTCACCATTAGCCCTTATAATGAAAACCAAACTTTAATTTAAATCTTATTGGGCTTAAATAGCAAAATTATAACTAAATCCATAAGCTTAAACCATTGAGGAGCGAAACCCAATCTCTCAGGGTTTAATTTGTGCTCAAAACACCTCTTTTCATCCAATTATTCACTCAAAACATTAGATCACTATATAGAAACTCAAAACATCTTCCCTAGGATCCAAAAAAACAAAAGATTACAAGAATAAAGCCTTTGAGATCAAAATTCAAAAATTTTCTCTTCCAAAAATTTAAGAAAATCAAGAGAAAAGAAAGAGGATTGAAGTAGGGAGTTTACCTATTGTGTAGCCGAGCTCGCAACGGTCGTAAAGCCTTCTAGATCTAAACCCAACTCCTTCTCTTTCTCTTCTCTTCTTCCTCTCACTCTCTCGTGCTCTTTGTTCTTTTTTTCCTGCGTTTTTGCGTTCATTTTCTCCTTAAAAAAGTTGATATAATACTTTGAAAAAAATTACAAGAAAGGGTCCAATATTTTTTATTATAGCACAAAAGCTCGGGTCAGCTTTGGTAATTTTTTTATAGTTAAAAATAAAATAAAACTCAACTTTTGCTTGGTAAAATTTAAATTCTGGACCTCTATCAAACTATTCTAAATTTTAATTTAATTATAAATATTTTATATTTTTTAAATAAATTTGAGTCTTAAAATTTCGGGATGTTACATTCTCTCCTCCTTTAAAAAGGATTTTGTCCCCAAAATCCAAGCTAATGCATGAATCAAAGAGAGAAACATACCTAGGAAAACAATTGTGGATACTCCTTCCTCATTTGATCCTCAGTTTCTCAGGTTGCATCTCTTGAAGTCGTTTCTTTCCAAATCATTTTTACTAACCGGATTGTCTTATTTTTGAGCTGCTTATCCTCAGCATCTACAATATGATTTGGTTCAGTTCGGTAGGTTAAATTCTCTTGAATTTCAACCTTATCAGGTTCTATCACATGGGACAGGTCTGGTTGGTACTTCTTCAACTGCGCCACATGAAACACATTGTGTAGACCCGTTAACTAAGGCGGCAATGCTAACTGATAAGCCACCAGCCTAACTTTCTTCAAAACCTCAAAAGGACCCATATATCTTGGAGACAACTTCTTAGCCTGAATTGAGTGTCCAACGCCCGTCAGTGTGGAAACCTTGAGAAACACATGATCCCTAACCTCAAAAGACAGGTCCTTATGACAATTATCTGCATAACTTTTTCGTCTACTCTGCATAACTTTGGTAATTTTTTCCATTGTTAAAATAGAATAAAACCTAACTTTTGCTTAGTAAAATTCAAACTTTAGACCTCTATCAAACTATTCTAAATTTTAATTTAATTATAAATATTTTATTTTATTTTTTTAATAAATCTGAGTCTTAAAATTTCGGGATGTTACAGTATGGTGGCCATTAGGCCACCAATCTTTTTAGATGGCCAAGGATCATGCGATCAAACCCTTTTTTGGCCACCTAAACCAATTTCTTTGAAATGAAATATTGCCGACGCCAAAGCTTCAGTGATCCCTATCGATAGCAGGGGCTTTGGCGACCTTACCACTGATAGTGGTCCAACAGTCGATGCCCGTGACAGTACGATTTCTTTTTTTTTTTTGTTTTTTGGTTACTTAAGGGGCAATTCCATCATTTTGCTTATGAAATTAATATCAAAGAAGGACTAGAGGATTGTAGCATAAATAGAAAATCATTTGGTCCTTATGCAATATAAATATCACATAGTGATCCTTAGATGCTATTTTCTCAATTATTATACCACTCAAATAAAGGATTCTAGATTTAAAATGAGATTTTAAATCTAAAATCAACATCAAAATCCATATATCCAAATTATTTCTCTTTCTTTTTTTGGTTTTTCATAGTAATCCTATAACTAATTGCTGTGATGCATTAGACTAATTTATCAAAGAATTTGAACATCATTTAAAAAATTGTCCTCTTTCAAATAATGTTCTTCACACATACCAATAATAATTAAACTCTAAAAGTGATTTTTAACGACCCAGACTGCCACACTCACTTGATATCCAAATGTATTTCCAAAGTATTAAAGGATGATATTTCAATCTAGTCATATTTATTTTTTTAAAAAATTAAATTTAACATGTTAACATTTAAAATCATACTATAAATATTTTCTATTACTGGGACTAACAATATAGAATTAAATGATTTAAAAGATCCTCTATAAAATTAACGAATTAAATGATTGCAATATAGAATTCGCTCTTTGCTAAAATTTAAGCCAGCGATATTGTGTGTCCGGTTTTTTTTTACCTGAATATCGTGCGTCCTGTGTCTCTCTGTGTTTTGCGCTCTCGCGCGCGCGCTCTCTCTCTATCTATGTAACGCTTACGTCACAGTTGTGATTAGTGAACACGTACAGAATTTCTGGCTTTCTCCTAGCGCGTTTATATAAAGCGGCCTTCTGGCAGCTTCCGTGGTAAGTGTCATTCAAGTTCTCTTCAATCGTCATTCTCTCTTCGTCTTGACAGTTCAGGCATGGTGACGAAGGTCGTTTTGGTTACCGGTGGAGCCGGTTACATTGGTTCCCACACCGTTCTCCAGCTCTTGCTCGGTGGTTTTAAGGCCGTCGCCCTCGACAATCTTAATAATTCTTCTGAGGTTGCTATGCGCAGAGTTAGGGAGCTAGCTGGTGAATTCGGCAATAATCTTTCCGTTTACAAGGTCCTCACAGTTACCTATACCTTCCGATCAATTTTGTTGCATGTGCTTCTAAGCATCACAGTTTGGTTTTTGCCAGTTTATGTTTCTGAGAGCTAGGAATTTTAGTATTCATTTTTTATGTAGGTTTATTTACCAAGTACCAATTCTTGCCCTGCTGTTTTAATTTGTCACATTCAGATTCAAGCTATCTTTATTTGACGTTCCTTTCTTCTCAATATGTGATTGCCGTTGGCCTTGAACACAAAAGTTTTGGCTCATAAAGCGACGCCGACACGCGTAATTTATATATGTTTCAAAATTTTTGCCTCATGTTTCCTGTCAGTTTAGGAATTACTCAGGTGCTTTTTGATGTAAAATAAGTAGGAATAAAATGAGGTTTATTTTCTAGTTCGATCCAATCTTTTCTATTTTACTGATTTTGCAGAATGTTTTTTCTTTTTTCCATTTTCCTCTTTTTGTAGCCAAATTGCTTGCTTTGCTTGCCCTATTTGACTCAAGCTTGACTGATACTTGGTGCCTTGTGCATTTAAGTCAAAATTTGAGCTCTTCAGCTGTAGACTCTGGTACAGATATGTGTGTATTGGTATGCATATGTATATATACTCATATATGTTTATATCTATACATATGCACATGCGTACATATATACATACACGAAGTATTTTTCTTTTTTTTTTTCTTTTGTACTTGGAAAGGATAGATGAAGTCAATTTATAAGTACTGTTGTTTTTCTGGGCTATCAAATCCACTGTGCGTGTAATGGTTTCAACTTTCAAATATTTTTGTTGGTGTTAAACTCTGGTACCAAGTTTCTGCTGGAAAGGAAAAAAATCAGCTACCAAGGGCTTCAAGTAATTTTTCACATCTTGATATCTAAACACTAAACAGGCCAACATAATTATAGTTCACTTGTTTTTTGGATGATCTATTGCTTGCATTATAAGTTGGCTATTGCTGGTGGACCTCCGGGACAGAGCTGCACTTGAAGAAATTTTTGCTTCCACACAGTACGTATTATGGCAGAAGTTTCTGTTCTAGGAAAAAATTGCAATGTCCGTGGTTTCTTATAGTTGTATCTCATCAAGTACCTAAAATCTGTTTCTGATTTCTTTACTAAATGCAGATTTGATGCTGTCATACATTTTGCTGGGTTAAAAGCTGTGGGTGAAAGTGTGCAAAAACCCTTACTTTATTACAAAAACAACTTGATTGGGACAATCACCCTCTTGGAAGTCATGGCTGCCCGTGGATGCAAGAAGGTAAATCTGTTTCTTTCTTCTTAATCACTGGAAGTCTCGTGATAGGCTTCTTTTTCATAGATAGCATGAAAGGAATGTAATCAATGTTGTCAGAATTTATGAATCATCCTTGTTGAAAGTTTTTCTTCGAAATTGTGCTAAATTCACAAATATATTTAGTTCTGGTACTTGACCTCGACAGCTATAAAGGAATATTTTTATATTGTTCCATTATCTGGGTGCTGCTTTGGTGACACCACTCCTTCACAGAAACCAATTGAAGTGTCAGTGAAGTATTTGGTGTCCTCACTATCAAGGAGATAAAGTAGAAGCCTTTATGAACTATTGTAAAATGAAATCTTGATTTTTTTTCTTTTTTAGGTGCTCTCACCTTGAGGTGTCTCCTAAGATTAATAAATATTATTTAGTCTTGGTGCTGCGTTTTTCTGTTTTTGACTAATCTATTTTCTGCATGATTTCAGCTTGTGTTCTCATCTTCAGCAACTGTATATGGTTGGCCCAAGGAGGTTCCCTGTACAGAAGAGTCTCCACTCTCTGCATTGAACCCATATGGACGTACCAAGGTGCAAATAGAATGTTGTTCGCTGTATTTTTGTTGGAAAATGAATTTGGGGGTGAAAGAAACTAAAAGTATAAATAATTTTGATATGAATTCTTTGAAATTGACAATGATTTCTTTCCCTTGCACTCTATGATTTGGTGAATATCAGTGACACTGATAGTAATGTTTATCATGGAATCTATTAATGATGTCTGAAAAGGTTTCTGTTTCAGCTTACAGTTGAAGAAATTTGTCGTGATATCTACCAGGCAGATTCTGAATGGAAAATGATATTGTTGAGATACTTCAACCCAGTTGGTGCTCATCCCAGTGGGTTATATTGGTGAGGATCCTCGTGGAATTCCAAACAATCTCATGCCATTTGTTCAACAAGTAGCAGTTGGCAGACGCCCTGCACTGACAGTGTTTGGAAATGATTATAATACAGTTGATGGCACTGGGGTATGTTCTTTTCTAGTCTAAGACTTTGCAACATCGCCTTGAAAAGTTGCATGAATTTTTAACAATACAGATACTCAAGTGTGAAGTCTACCAACTGTTTCTTAGTTTGGAATACTACTACACATGCATTAGTTCATATGTTGTGGAAATCCTGAACTCTAACAAATTACAATTGGGTCTTTAATTTCTCACAACCCTTCCTGCTTGAATTCCCTTGTGGGTATTTCTGATTAAAAAGTCTTTCCTCATTGGACTTGAATGGTCCATTACATGATATATTTCATTTTATTTAAGATTTACTTTTCATTTCTTCACCAATGAGTCTAACTCAATGGATCTTATCTTTTTTATCAGGTGCGTGATTATATTCATGTTGTTGATTTAGCAGATGGGCATGTTGCTGCACTACATAAACTATATGATTCTCATATAGGTATCCCTCTAATTTATCATTATTTTCTTGTCCAGTTATTATTACAGTACGTTGGTTCTGTGAAGGATGGAGGTGTCTCTTGTGCTTTTGTTAGAATTGATCACATGTGAAATTTATGGTGCGTATATGTAGGTTGTGAGGTGTATAATTTAGGAACAGGAAAGGGAACATCAGTCTTAGAGATGGTTAAAGCTTTTGAAAAAGTCTCTGGAAAGGTAATGGACAGATTATTTCCAATCCAGTCAATATAACCATTTTTCTTTCTTGAGGTGAGGCAAAGAAATTCATCAGCTATAAAAAAATGGAGCATTAGGCACCTTCCGTTTAGTTTCAACAAATGGCCATTTCTTCAAAATTGCGGGGCCCACATTCATTTAACTTTCTCTCTCACATTTTCATAATGCATGAACGGCTGAACGCTGCCTCTCGATTGCTCCTGCAACTCCTCACTTATCTCTCTCACTCTCATTCTCAGAAGTCACTAAACCAAGACAAGCTCTTCTTCACCCATTCAACCGCTTGTTCTTCCTTTGGTGGTCCCACCATAGTTCCAGCCACCCCACAAGTTCAGTTTGGAAAGAGGGTGAGAGGAAAGGAGAGGGTTAGAAGAAAGGTAATTCTGTCCTGCTACTTCATGCTGGATCACATGGCTCCCTTGTCATTGTCGTACTCCATCATGACTTGGGTCTTCCCGTTAAGCCCCAGCCATTGGTAGGTCCCATTTTTGTGGACCTCAGTTAGCTGAGCACTGAGCTTTGTCTCCGGCGAGCCGCCGTGCTCCTTGTAGGCAGCTTTCAGCTTACCAATGATTGTGTTGAGGCTTCCCCAATCCTGTCTTGCAGGTGGGTTGGGTGGAGGGGGGGGGGAGAGAGAGAGAGAGGAATAATAGGTATATGGATGGAGGAGTTGCAGAAGAGTGTGTGTGTGAGAGAGAGGAAGGAATAGGTCGTTCATGACTTCTAAGAATGAGGGAGGGAGGGAGGGAGGGAGAGATGAATGAAGAGTTATAGAGGTGAGAGGCAACGTTCATGGGTGCATTTGGTCTTTAACCTTTTTTTCTTTTAAATTTGTTGCTTTCTTCGCATATTTCTTTTCTTTTTGTGGATGGGTTGTTCTAAAACTTGGTAGAGAATAAAGCAGTTTACAAGCTTAGAATATTTGTGCTGTGGTTCTCGCTTCTAGTTATTTAATAAAATTTTTTAGGTCAATGTGCATTTTTATCTTTGAACTATTCTCCAACGAGAACTCAATATTCTAAGTTAATTGTCATAACAATTTCGCCTTTATAGTAATTAAAACATAGCATATTTTTCCTGATGTTAAAATGCCCTAACGTTGATTGTTAAAAATGCGGATTGGAACTTAAGTTTGACAAAAAATGCCACTTGTTGTGCTAGGTGAGTTTGGAAATATGCTACATTTTAATTACTTTAGAGGTGAAATTGCTATACAACAAATATTTTAGGATACTGGGTGTTTCTCAGAGAATAGTACACAGGTCAAAATGTATCGTAACTTGGATTCACCTAGCATGACGAGTGGCATTTTCAGTGAGACTTAAGTGCCAATCAGCATTTTTAATAGTCAACATTGGAGTATTTAATGTCAAAGGAAAATACATTATGTTTTTACTTTAGGTGCGAAATTGTTATGACAAATAGTTTAGGATAGTAGGTGCTTCTTAGAGAATAGTTTAGGGGAAAAAAAAATCTTAACCCATTTTTTTAATCTACAGCCCATTTTTTTAATCTACAGTTATCTAGTAAATTTGGAGTTTTGATGTTTAGGCGCTAAAATGATATTCCTTTGCACAAATTTGAAACATTTGGCTGAATTGATTTCTCTGCTTTTATGAAAAATCAAAATATACAGCTTCTTTTTTTTTTTTTTTTTAGCAACAAAATATACAGCTTCTCAAAGTTATCATAGTGTAGAACCTTTACTTAGAAAAGATGGGGAAAAAAGATGGTAGACAATGAAGAAGATAGAACAACGTAGTTTTTTAGGATAGTTCCCCAGGAACAACATGCTTTGAGAACAATGCATTGGCTGTGGAATTGTTTTCCTTTTGAAATCCCAACCTAATATAGGCTAACTAATGCTGTAATTCTTTTATATCATATTGATTCATTAAATTATTTTATTTTACTGTACAGAAAATCCCACTTGTGATGGCTGGGCGAAGGACAGGTGATGCTGAAATTGTTTATGCATCAACAGAAAAAGCAGAGAGAGAACTCAACTGGAAGTGAGTGTTATCTACTTTGAATGGTCCAGATACCGGGCCTGGATTTTTTTTTTTTTTTTTTGAAACTATCCAATTAATCTTCTATTGTTCCAATGTAAGAATATGCTCACATACTCAAAATCTCGTTAACTGCAAAGAGAGTCCAAAACTAAAATTTGTTGTTTCGTTGGTTTCAATAAATTCTATGTTGTAATTATTTGGTCTCTGTTTTTCTTTTTTTTTTTTTTTTTGGGGCCAGAATTATTTTCTGTTTCACGTGTTTATCTTCCTTACAGGGCAAAATATAGCATTGAAGATATGTGCCGTGATCTATGGAATTGGGCTAGCAAAAACCCTTATGGCTATCAATCACAGGATTCCCCAAGTAATGCTAATTGTGAAATATAGTTACTGATCTCTTCTGGGGTCTCTTGCCAGCCCCGATATACCCAGGGCTTGTGAAATCGATTAAAAAAGGAATTTAAATTGTAAAATAATTGTGAAATATAGTAACTGATCTCTTTTGTTGGGTGGCGTTAAACTAGGAATTTTAAGTTGTAAAATAATTGTTAAAGATTCTCTTGCTTTTGCTGTACAGGTTATTTATACAAGGGATACTGGACAAGATTTTCAGTTTAAAACTAGTTCTACTTTCTGGGTTCTGTTTTCTGTTTTTATATTCTTAAAATAATTGTGTAGAATAGTTTTTTAGGACAAGACTGGGAAACAAAAAGTGAAAAAATCTATTTGAACTAAATTGATGAAATAAGGGGTGAAAGAATAATTTATTTTATTAACATAATTATCATTGATGAAAATATGATATTTTGTTTCTAGTTTTGTAGTGTAAAAAATAACAAAATATTTAAAAGATGGTCTGATTTTTGGTTCTTCAAAATAATTTTTAATTTTATTTTTTAAAGCGGATAATAGAAAAATACATTTTTGAGCAAGTTTTTCTTTTCTTTTCTTTTTCTTTTTCAGAATATAAATAAGCCCTTCTGTTTTCATCCATAGTTCTTCGATGAGGATCTTGATCTTAATGACAATTATCCCCAATCAAAAGCAATCATGTATGTTTTAATAGTGAAATCTTCTTAGTCCCTCAAAACAAATGCTATAACGCTAATTTTAACAAACGGTTAATGAGCATCCTATAATTTAAATTATCATGCAAATAACATCCTAAATCTTGAATTAAAATCTATAAACACTTTTTTTAATTTTTAAATTATGAGTGTCTAAAATCTTATCGTTAAATTAAAGAAAAAATTGTTATTTTTAATAATCAAAATGAATACTATATTATTGTGACTGGGCCCATGATTACAAAAATAATGAATTTTTTTTTAACTTAATGACGAGATTTAAAGTGTTTAAAATTTAGAAGTTGAGAGAATTTTTTTATACATTTTAAGAATTCAAGGTCTATAATACCATTTATGCAATAATTTAGAGTTTATGAAATTTATTAATCATTTAATAAAAATATAATTCCTAAACCTCTCTGCTAGAATCATAAAAGTTAAAAGGGTGGGAAGTGAAATCTTTTCACACTTCTGTCCATTCTCTCTTCACTGCTTATGCTAAGACGGTTTAGGTGTAATATTTTAAAGAATAAAGTTTTTTTTTTTTATTGCCACTTTAAGAAAAGAATCTTTGTATCCTATTTTACCTGGGAAAAAAAGTCTCAAGGAGGTCTTTGTATCAATCAAGATTCTTGATACAAAAATGTTAGCCTTTACTGCGAGGTCTCGAAAGACAGAGGTTTCGTCCACAAACCCTGTTTTTTTTTTTAAAAAAAAAATATGAAGACAAATAAATTAAGTAAAATAAAAAAATAAAAATACCCACGCCTGATGTGGGTTTAAAGAGGGAAATGTTATTGGACATAATATTTGACGGAATACAAAACGCTGTGCAAAAAGTTAAGAGAGAATCTCATGTTAGGACCATGGATATGATTTAATAAAAAATAAAGACCAAATCAATTTCAAAATGCATTGAAGGTTGCTGGAGCTGAAATAAAAGTAATTTCTTAAGACAAATAACTAAAATACCCTTAATAGAAATGAAGAAATAGAATAGGAATAACTGCTTAACATGATTTATTAAATCCCTTACATTATACTTGCTAAATTTGCAATATTATTTGTGAATTTACCAGGCCCCCATTAAACCTAGAACTTGTTATATCAATATCTTAACTTGTACATTATTTGTTAATTTCCTTCCATTACTTAATAAGCTGATTACATTGCTTGTTAATTATTTAACTTATATTAAATATATTATGAATTTTTAAATTATTAACTTGTAAAATCCATTATGCTACTCGAAGCTGCAAGTAATGTTGTAAGAGATTTAACATACCATATTAATATATTAACTTAACTTGTAAATTTCATTATGCATTTAGCATGTAATATAAAGGATTTGACAAGTCATGTTAAGATGTGATTCACGTTCTCTTTCTTCATTTTTATTAAGGGCACTTTAATTATTTGCCTTATAAAATGATTTTCATTTCAATCCCAATAACTTGTAGTGCATTTTCAACTTTATTTAGTCCTAATTTTTAATTAAGTCACATCATGGTTTTAATATAAACTTTTTCCAAAAGTTATTATCTTCAAAAAGAGTCCTAGTGCTTGGGCATGTGACTTGCCTAAGTTGAAAAGGAAGTTTTCGGTATCCAATTATGTTGATAGGAACACTGTCAAAATTCCTTGAAATACATAAATTCCTCATCCGAGAAAGCCTATCTCTTAATTAGAATTGATAATTCGAGCTAAATTCAATGAGCTAATCCAAATCTGTTCAAAAAAATTTAGGGTCAGATTTTAAAAAAGATAGTTTTTTATGTTTGGGTTTGGCCCGAATACCTGAATAAAAAAATATATTTTTTAAAAATATATAAAATATAATAAATATTAATTAATTCTTTAAATTTTAGGTCATTTTATACTAAAAACCATATATTTAAGTTTTATACTTCTTTTAAGTATCCAAAAAATGTATTATACATTTTTTAAAATAAAATAATTAATTTTAAATTAAAAAATTAATTAAAAATAATTTTAAAAATAAAATTCGAGTATTTGGGCTGTTCGAAGCCTCAAGGAATTTGGGTCAAGGTTGGGCATTTGGGCTTTTCAAGGAACTAGGCTTAGCCCATTAGAATTCTTGGCTTTACTCTTAACCATGTAATGGACAATCCTAAAAAGTTAGCTTTATTTGTCTTGTTTCTGGCAAGAAATGTATATCCTCATTCTTGTGTTTCTTCAACCAAATGGACCAACCTTTGGAGAATATTTCAGTAAAGGGTTAAGGTTTATTTTTATCTTTGAACTATTTTCATAAGAGTACCTAATATTCTAAACTTTTTATAGTAACAATATCGCCCTTGTAGTAATTAAATCATAGTAAAGTTGCCCTTGATAATAAATAGGCAAATGCTGACTGTTAACTTTACTAAGTCAGGCTTAACGTTAGGTGCAACACTCTAAAATTTCACATTGATTTTTCACAAATATTTGATTTATTTAATTGAATTAAAGTAATTAAACACTTACTATAGTAAAAAAAAAGGTCTACTATGGTAATAATAGAGCCAGTAATTCAAGAGGACCAGACTTATTTGGGTCGAGCTTTATTTGGGTTGGGTTTAAAGTATTCTATACTAGTTTTTCTTAGTTTAGGTTATAAAGAAATAGAATCAAGAGTTTAAGGGGTTGGTTTCTTATCTTTTTTTTTTTTTACAAAAAGATTCTTAGGAGTTGAATTAAGATTTTGCGATTGGTTTGAAAGTTAATTGTTAAGTTTTAAAGTTGTAGGCTTAATTTAGCCTAATAGATTAAAAAGGTGAAAAGTTAGGGAAGAAGTTATTGGGTGATTAATTATGATAATTAGTACTTTTGATCAATTTGGTAATTGACTAATAGTACTCAACTATGTAGATTGTCTTGAATTGCACATTGACTTAACAAAAGGAATCCAAGATAAAGTATAGAGCCATGGGTAACCTTTCTAAGTATGAAAGGGTTGAGATAACCATATAATTTATTATGCCTATTAATTAGTTTAATTGTTTATAAGTGAATGTGGTAATATGACCTATGGTTTTATATTTGTTATGTTCTGTAACTCACATGTTTTGGCATTCAAATAGATTTGGCATGTTTATTAAAGTATGTACATGTGGTTTTAAAAGGAAATTCATTATATATATATATATATAAGTGCATGAAAATGTGTAATGGTGATTATATGTGTGTAAAAGTGGCATGATCATATCAAGGGTGGGAGTTCACCTTGAGTGTGTGAAGATGTGTGTAAATAAATCTAGATGGTCAGTTTCACACTATAAGACATCTGGTGTAACATTATATTTAGGACTGTTACTGTGAGATATCCAAACATTTTGGCTACTCCTTGGTACCTGTAAAGGGTGTGGTTAGGAGTCAACGACACTTCTATCATGTGTGTGAAGGGAGAATTCATAGTCTAGAAGTGAGATATAATACCTTTGGTTGGATGTTTTTATCATTGAAGGTGTGCTTGGATCAATGTGATGTGATTGATCCAATAGAGTATATGGATTCAATTAGGGAGCTTGGAGGTTCGGTAGATAGATGATTATGCTAGTGTGTTATTATATTCATGAAAATTGTTATAAGGCTGTGTGTGTGTGTGTGTGTGAGTTTGTTGATTTCAAATACATAATAAATGGTTTTGATTACTTATTTGGAGTTAATCTTATTAGTAGACATTTAATGAATTATTTTGGTTATTGAGATTTTTATCTCACTCGTGTTTATTCTTTTTATAGGACCTGACATCAAGAGCTTTAGAGGGAAAGAGTCAAGTTGAGAGTAGTGACCCTACGTATTGCCTCACAAAGTAGGTGTAATGAACTTGAGTATATAATTTTGTTGTATATAAGTTATTATAGGATTTCCTAAACCTAAATGTCTAATGCACTTGTATGTTGTGTTAAACTTGGCTAGATATGTGTAATCTTGTGATGTGTGTGTTTTTGTAATCAAGGGCTAAGGTATGGCTAAGTGCATGTATGAATATAGTTAGTGTGAAAGTGTGGGAAGTTTGACCAAATGTGTAAATATGTGTGTGAATATAATTTTTCCCAAGTTTGAAGAAGGGCAATTTACAAGCCAAACTTGTGTTCATGTGTGATATTGTTGATATACATGGTCAAGTTAGATTTTGAAATAAGTTTCATGTGGATACTTGAATCACCTCAAAGGGACAAATATGCATAAACAACACATGTCAAAGGTTCTTGTCATATGTGTTGTTTGATAACAAAATATGATACGTGCATTATGATGTATGGTGCACATGCCATGATACATGTCATAGAATGAAAAGAGGTGGCTCTGTATCATAACGTTGTGGCACATGTGCCACATATTGTGGCATATGGGTCAATTCATTCTAATATTTTTGTTTCGCTTTTGTTTTCTTCTTGTGCTTTATACATGCAATTTTTATGCTTTTGCTTTATATATATAGGCTTTTAACCCATTTAAAAGGGTTTTCCAAAAGGTTTTATGTGGGATCCCAATTCTTATGGTTTTCAACTTTTAAACCAAATTGTAAATGTGTTTGAGTTGTATGTTGTACCATAATGTC